GAAGCCCTTCCAGAATTCCTTCAGTGTTGGTCCACCTTCCTTCTCAATTGCTCTGCTGGCCTGGGGAAATGTGCACCTAAGATAGTAGACCGTGAAGGATGCAATTAGTCCCTGGTCCATGGGTTGCAACGAGGTGGTGTTTGAGGGGCAGAAAGACCACTTTGATGTCAGGATGCATGTCACGAAGGATGGTTGGATGACCAGGAGCATTGTCGAGGATTAACCAGGGTCCCATAGCCAGCTCTCGTCTGTTCTTTGGCTAGCAGGTACCTCCCAGTCCTGCCCTTCAAGCACTAAGTGCCTCAGGACACCCACTGCCTTAAGGGCTGTTTGTGGCTCCTTCCTCCCCCACAGCCATGCCCATGCCTCGCAGATGTTATTCAGATAATCTCCTGGATCTTCCTTTAGGGGCCTCTGCCCTCTTGGTTTGGGCCACTGCTATTCTAGCTGTTAGCTTCCTGCCATGGCCCACTGGTTCCAGCCTGGCTTTCGCTATCTCAGCTTTCTCCTTATGTCCACCTCTGGGCCCCTGTCTCTCACGGTCTCTGGGCCCCCTGTCCCTGGTGTTGCCTCTCCTGGATTCTGGGCCCCCTTGGGGTCCCAGACCCAGGGATTGGCACTCTCTTTTTTTCCTCTCAGCCCTCTGGGGTCCCCGACTTGGACAAGCCTGATTATACACCCCTCAGCTCCCTGGGTCTCCAACCCAGGCCAGGCAGCTCTAATGCTACTCAACCCCCTTTTGGGCTCTATGCGGGGTGCTGCTCAGGTGCCCCTCCAGCCTTTATTCCACTCCCTTAGCCAGAACACGGCCTTCTGGTTTCAACTTTAACGCAACACAAATACAAGCCAAGCAACCGCTTACAACAAAAATCTCCTTCAACTTTGGGTTGATGTCTTCCTGCAAGCCATACCTCCTCTTGGGCTCTCGTGGGTGGTTAAGGTGTTTGCCAGGCAGCCTTCTGCAGCCCCTTTCCCACAGGAGATCTGCTCCCTGTAGCATGCAGGGCCAGATTGACCTCCTTGCTTCTAGGGCTGGGCTTATGTGCCCTGAAGCACTGCCCCTTTCCGTCAGGTGCCTAATTAAGCACAGGGGCTTACCTTGGGCCTTAATGGCCAGCCTGTCCCTCTCTGCTGCAGCTCCACCAGCTGCATGGGGCTCCTACCCTCAGGCTGCCTGGATGCTGCCTCGTGTAGCCAGCTTGTGGTGCAGCTCACTCCTGCTCAGCTGCCTGCTGCAAATTTTTCCTTATAGTAACAGGAGTTTCCGGCTCCTGGTTATAATGGGTAGTGTAAACTGTCTGCAATTTCTCATCCATAATTTGAACTGACTGGCTTTCAATTCAGTGTTGTATTTTAATATAGTCTTTATTCAGGAAGGAAAAAGAACTTCAGTAACTTAAAAAAACTGCAAATGCGTTTGCAAAATTCTTCAGCATGAAGGTTTATTGAACTGTACAGAATGAGGAGAGAGAGCAGACTGAGCCCTACTTAACTGGTTATTTATGATGCTGAAGATGTGAGTTAATGAGGAAATCCTCTGTCATTGACAAATGATCTCATGTCTCACTGCCTAAGTAGATTCTATTCAGCGCAGACCTAGCAGGATCTCATTTTAGACCTTGAGATGGAAGTTGTATCCACTGGAAGTTAATGAGGCCCCTGAAAGAGTTACTGTGCTGGCTGGTTCTTTTTCAGTGTTTTATGCCCCTTGTTTTTCTTTGGCCATGTCTGTACCGCAATACATACTCCTTCTGTGGTTTGAGACGAGCAGAAATGTGCATCAGGGAAAGACCTGTAATGCTATCCTCAAGATATCATGACCTTAGAATAATTTACTTTGAAGCGAATATTCTTCACATGCTGGGGATACGTGAGTTATAGATTCCTGCTCACTAGGAGGCCTTCAGTGCAGTTGGTGTTAAGCCTTGCTTGAGTGGGACTGACATACTTACATGCATCACTAACATCAAAACATTCCAGTTGATCTGGCTTGCTCCAGAAAACTTGTCAAGGTTTTGTGAAGAAATGTGAAAGGAAAAGGATGAAAGAACAGGCCCAGTTGATGGACTGAATGCCTGCCAGAAAAGGCCTGAGCTTCTTTACTTCTGTCTTTTGAATGCCAGTTGTCACACGTCTAATTTTTCTGAAACTGGAATGTGTGGGACTTCAGAAATCAGCTGAGTTTGGACAATGGTGCATGATACACATACCTAATTCATTACCTTTAAAAAAATCAGATCTTTTTGACGTTAGGTTCAACTGAAGCTTACTTCCCATAGTGTTTAAAACTTGTCCAGTTGGTGCAGTTTGAATAGATAGAACAACTCAACTTCAGCAACTGTTGAAGAAAGCTTTATGGGCCTCTGCTTTATGGGACCATGCTTTGACCATGCTTTTTTAAATGGATGCTGGACTCAGTTGTGCTTTGTGTACACTGAATCTATTTCATTTCAGCTTTCAACAGCACTTTTTTCAGTTTGGATTATAGAGAGAGCATTTGAAACTTCATGTTGGGTATCTGTCCATTTCCTAATGTAGACACAATGTCCAGTAAGAAACAGTTATTGAAGGGTATGTACTATTCATGGAGAGGTAGAAACAATGGTAAAAGTGGTGTGATGTATATTAATATGGTAAACTGAAAAATAATGGTGGCATAGCTAAAATGGAATCACTCTGAGGAAGGACTGTAAATAGGTTCTGCTGGAGTGGTTAATATTAAGGGATTTCCAAAGTCATTTGTCTTGGTATAGACAGTATCTGGATGAAATTTAATAGGCTCCAGTATATAGAGTGGAGCTGAGCTGATCTGAGCTTCTTAGCAGAGAGACTTTATTTTAAACGTACATATTGCTGTGTGTGTGACCGTGAAGAAGGTGGTTGTCTTTTGCAGACTCTTAAGCTCTGTCTGTCTTCTGCGCAAAGTTCCAGAAGTGCAATAAAATTAAATTGTATGCGGGAACAGAACCCCAGCTTTTCCCTCTAACTCCTGAGGTCTGTTCTTCCTTCATCAATTTCCAGGGAATCTTCCTAGGTATTTTGAAACTCTGCCAAACTAGGTTATAAGATGCTGTTTTGCTCCATGCATAGATACTAATTTTTAAACTTGTGTGGGCAGGGGTTTTTCCTCATCTAAATCCATAATGTCTTCTAAGATTAAATATGTTAGATTTGGTTGCCCTTTTACCAGAAGGGAGCAGACCTGTTACCTAAGAACATATCATTTCATAATTAGTCATTTTGTGGACTGTAAGGGTACATTTTTTTTTTTTTTGCATTACTGCAATTGCAGTATTGAATGCTTGGTTTACCAAAGTGAATAACCAACATTGTTTTCTGACTGAACAGATTTAACTCTGAAAAGGCTGTAGATGACCCCTGAATGCTTTAGACTGAATCCAAATGAGTCTCTTTAAAAAAGTTTCTATCTAATATTGTCTTAGCTAGAAGACGGTATGTTTAGGTTCTCTTTTCTGAAAACTTTCTTCTGTATATATACTATTGTTTTTGCAAAGAGAGAATTGTGCAAGCGTTGAAGTATATTTAGCTTGGTTTAGTAGGGCTGGGGTTTTTAAGTGCACATGCTGATGTTTGTGTTAATGATGGTAGGTTCAAAAACTTCATAAAGAAGGTATTGAAGTTTGTGATGGCTTGTGGTTTTCTGTGGGAGTTCATTCTAAAATTTCCAACTGTCCTAAAAAAAAATCTTTCACCTGCGTAGATGAGGTTTATCCTTAAAGTAGAAAGTTCCATGGTGCTTAAGGAAATTTAGGTGATGAATTTAGGTATTCTGAGGTCAGATCATCAGTGTGTCAAAGACAAAAACTGTGTCATAGAATCATAGAATTAGGGTCGGAAGGGACTTCAGGAAATTCTAGCCCAAAGCAGGACCATCCCCAACTAGAGCATCCCAGCCAAGGCTTTTTGTCTAACTGGGTCTTAAAAACCTCCAAGGATGGAGATTCCACAATCTCTCCAGGTAACCTGTTTCAGTGTTTTACTACCCACCCAGTGAGACAGTTTTTTCCTAATATCTAGCCTAAACTTTTGCAGTTGCAACTTAAGACCATTACTTGTTCTCTCATCTGTAACCACTTGAAACAGTCTAGCTCTATCCTTTTTGGACCCACTCTTCAGGTAGCTGAAGGCTGCTATTAAGTCCCCCCCCTATTCCCCTACCAATCTGTTCTAGCCTAATAGGTGCAGTTCCTTCAGTCTCTTCTCATAAGTCAAGTGTCCCAGCCCCCTAACCATTTTTTTGCCCTCTGCTGGACTCTCTCCAATTTGTTTTCATCCTTACTATAGAGGGACCCCAAAATGGACATAATACTCCAGATGTGGCCTCACCAGTTCTGAATCCCTGGGAAAAATCACTTTCCTCGATCCTCTGGCAGTGCTCCTACTAATATAGCCCAGTATGCCATTAACCTTCTTGGCAACAAGGGCACACTATTGCCTCATATTCAGCTTATTGTCCACTGTAACCCGCAGGTCCTTTTCTGTAGAGCTGCTGCTTAGCCAGTTGGTCCCCAGTCTGTATTGGTACATGGGATTGGTTTGTCCTACATGCAGGACTTTGCACATGTCTTTATTGAACCTCATGAGATTTCTTCTGGTCCAGTCCTCCAATTTTTCAAGGTCTTGCTAAATCCTAGCCCTGCCCTCCAGTATATCTATTACTCCCCCCAGTGTGGTGTCATCTGCAAACTTGCCAAGGGTACACTCCATCCCAGCTTCCAGGTCATTGATGAAGGTATTGAAGAAAACCAGCCCCAGGACCCGATCCCTGGGGCAAACCACTTGATAGTGGTTGACAACTAGATGTCGAGCCATGGATTACTACCTTTTGAGCACAATGATCCAGCTACTTTGTTATCCATCTAGCCTGTATTTCTTGAGCTTGTTTGTGAGAACATTGTGGGAGACTGTATCAAAAGTCTTGCTAAAGTCAAGGTATATCATGTCTACTCTCCCCCATGCACAGAGCCAGTCATTTTATCATGGAAAGCAACCACATTGGTCAGGTATGACTTGCCCTTGGTGAATCCATGCTGGCTATTCCTAATCATTGTCTCCTCCTGGTATTTAGAAATGGATTCTTTGAGGACCTGCTCCATAGTTTTTCCAGGGACTGAGGTGAGGCTGACCAGTCTGTAGTTCCCTGGATCCTCATTTTTTCCCTTTCTTAAAGATGGGCACTATATTTGGCCTTTTCCAGTTCCCAGGACCTTTCCTGACTGCCACATGTTTTCAAAGATAATGGCCATCAACTCTGCAGTCACAGCCAACTCCCTCAGCACTTGAACTTGTGTGTCCAGCTTTTCTAAATAGTCCCTAGCCTGTTCTTTTGCCACTGTTGGCTGCTCACCCTCTCCCAAACTATACTTCCAGGAACAGTAGTTTGGGAGATTACCTTGTCTCTGAAGACTGAGATAAAAAAAGGCATCGAGTGTTTCAGCCTTTTCCACATCATGTGTCACTAGGTTGTCTCCTCCATTCAGTAAGGGACCCACGTTTTCCCTGATCTTCCTCATTGCTGACATATTTATAAAAACCCTTCTTGTTACCCTTCACATCCCTTGCCAGTTGCACTTTGGCCTTCCTGATTTTCATTTTTGCATGCCCAAGCAATATGCTTTTACTCCTCCCTTTTCATGAATGCCGCCTGCCCCTGGAGGCTGGGGCCACATGACAACCATTCTCAAGCGGCGGGGGCATGGGGGCGGGGGGGGTCCCCCACGAGGGCAGCAGAGGTGGGCCAAGCGGGGAGCTCCCGCAGGTGGCTGCAGTAGTGTCGGCAACCTCCTGCTTCTGCGGTGGCTAGCAGTGATCAGGGACTGCCCGCAGATGCCATTGGCAGTGTTGAAAGTGAGGCGGAGGGGTGGCAAGCGGCGACTGCCTACAGGTGCTGCTGGCAGTGTCGGCAGTGCTTCTCACAGGGGGTGTACCGCTTATCTCGGGGTGCACGTGCACCCACTACACATCACCAATGTCCCTAGCTGTTTGTCCAAGTTTCCACTTGTTAGCTTCCTTTTGGTGGGTTAGCTCACTGAAGAGTTCGCTGCTAAGACAAGCTAGTGTTCTGCCTTACTTACTTGCTAGTATCAGGATGGTTCACTTCTGCACCCTCAGTAAGGTTTCTTTAAATTGCAACCAGCTGTCCTTGACTCCTTTCCCCCTCAGAGTGGCCTCCCAGGGGATCCTGCCCATTGGTTCCAAGAGTGAATTGAAGTCTGCTTTTCTGAAGTTCAGGATCCTTCCTCTGCTGCTCTACATATCCTTTCCTTAGGATCCTAAGCTCAATCATCTCATGGTTGCTGCTGCTTAAGTTGCCATCCACTTCTGTGTTCCCCCCCAATTCTTCTCTGTTTGTGAGTGGTAGGTCAAGAAGAGTGAGACCCCTAGCTGGTCTCTCCAATGCTTGCACCAGGAAGTTGTCCCCAGCACTCTACAAAAACTTCCTGGATTGCCTGCGCACTGCTGTGTTGTCCTCCCAGCGGATGTCAGGGTGATTGAAGTCCCCCATGAGAGGCAAGGCTTGTCATCTGGAAACTTCTGCTAGCTGTTTGAAGAAAACCTCATCTACCTTACCCTCCTGGTCTGGTGGTTTATAGTAGACCCCCACCAGGACCATAGGCCTGTTGAAAGTCTCTGGGTTAGGGTCAGGGGGGACAGCAACAAAGACAATCTGCAGCTTCATACTGGAGGCCTGAGCAATCATACAGCTTTTTTACATAAAGAACAACTCCTTCCCCTCTTCCCCCCTGCCTGTCCTTCCTTAACAGTTTGTACCCATCCATGACGCCTCCAGTAATGGGAGTTTCCACCACGTCTCTGTTAGTCCAGTCATGTCATAGTTCCTTGACTGTGTGGGGACTTCCAATTCTTCCTGCTTGTTTCCCAGGCTCCGTGCATTTATGTACAGACTCCTGAGATGACTAGCAGATTGCCCCTACTTTCTCAGGAAGAATGAGGCCTCCCCTGCTGCCACCTCCTGCTTGCTTTTCCTCTAGGTCCCCTGCTTCCCCACTCAGGGCTTTGTTCTCCGTCCCCCAGCAAACCTAGGTTAGCGAGCCTGTCTGCAAAGATGCTCTTCCTTCTCTTTTGTCATGTAGATCCCGTCTCTTCCTACCAATCCTTCTTGGAACAACATCCCATGGTTGAAGAAACCAAAGCCCTGCTGGCAACAGCATCTGCGTAGCCATGCAGTAATCTGCGGGATGCATCTACACCTGCCTGGGCCCTTTCTCTTGACTGGAAGGATTGAGGAGAACACCCCATGAGCCTGTCCCCTTCACCCTTGCACCCAGAGTTCTCGAGTTTGACTCTATATTCAATGGAAGTCAGAGCATGGAGCGCAGGTTTAGTGTGTTAGCTGTGGGCATGTCTAAACAGTACCTACTGAGACATACTGTCTGAGGTGGTTTATTTCTGAAACGGAAGCGGAGTTGCTGCATTAATGGAGACTACATGCATATCAAGCTCTGCTGCATACAGAGCCTATTTATGTGCAAGTAGTGCTACATTAATTGCAGCTACATGACTTCAGGTTTGGGAGCGAGTGCAGGGAGCAGTTGCAGTGTACCTTAGCAAGGCACTGCCTTGTATAATATAGATCCGAGGTGTCAAACATACAGTCTGTGGGCTGGATCCTACCCGTGGAGCCATTTAACCTGACCTGTGGGTTGTTGGACTGATCCCATGTGCCGGCCCCAGCTCTACACACTGCACGTGGTGCACGGGCTAGACTCATGCAGCCCACTCCCTGGACCCCTTGGGATGACCAGAGCACCCCCTGTAAGAGAGGGGATTGGAAGGGGACATTGGAATAAGGGACCTCTTTTTGTGGTGGGGCAGGGGAGTGGGAATGGATGACTAGGGGACTGGGGAATAGGAAGAGGTTTCTTATATTTGCATGCAAAGGGCAATTGGGTTTGCCTGCAGGGTTCCCTTATATGGATGTTTAGGCAAGGAAGCAGCTGTTGGTGTGGGGAGTTGGTTTTCTTAAGTTTTGGGGTTGTTGTTTGGGAAATTACTCTTGTTTCCTGTTGTGTGTGGGGTGGGGGGGGCAGGGGTTGTCTGTTTACTGTAAGCCTCTGAGGTGGGATATAAATCTAATTAAAAAAAAATAAAATAAAAATATATACCTATATCGGAAAGCATACTGCTTTTTAGAAAGAGATGCAATCACTCGAATGTGTGGGTCATGGGCATTTAGAGTAAAATTTGTGTGAACGCCATGTAGCATGAGTCATGGTTACAGCGTGCTAAATAACCATTCTTTATAAAACATATAACTGGAAATTAAATTGACTTCTACGCATATGTATCATTCATATTTTGCCTTTTTTCTGAGGGTTGTTGCACATTGGGTGATATGTTGCAAGAGAGACCCTCCTCATCAGGCACATTTTGCAGAAATGATAGGGTTATTCTGTTTTCTGTTTAGTTTTTAGACTGAAGATTTTTTGAGGAAGTTTTGCATATCAAGTAAAAAAAAACAACTTCTGAAGCTGGTTGGAGTTCAAATCTTAATGAAATACCTTCCCATTTTGTGGGAACCGAGTAGGGCTAATGCTTGGACTAGTATGGCATATTCTGACCTTTATTTTAGAGACAGCCTGGTACCCTGGGAACACAAAATGCTGTGCAGATCATAATAGTGTGAATAGTTTACAGACATTTTCCTACTCTTATGGCCAAAAGAAGCAAGGCGATAAAATTCTTCCTATGTTCACAATCTGAGATTGCCTGGTGTATTTTCTGTTATAAATATCCTGACAACTGCAGCAGTTTCAAACAAAATCTGTTTAGTTTGTACAAGTATCACAATACATTTAAAAAGGCTTTGATTTGTTGCTTATGTGAATGTCTTCTTTTATAAGTCTTTTTTCCCTTACGGTATGCAAAAGGAAGATTTTAGTAAAGTGTGTCATTTTCTTTTCCCCCCAGATTGCAGCAATTCTTAGAAAAAGAAAGCTCGACTATTATTTGCACAAACTGCTACCTGAAATCTTGCAGTCAACTTCATTTCTGACAGCAAATGGAAGCTTATATATTGCTTTTTTTTGCATTTTAAGGTTGGTATACCTTTATGTTCTATCATAAATATTTGCAAAGGTTTTCCTATAATTTATTTAATCTTTTCCTCTCTTAAATCATGACATCTTGAATAAGATGTGTTATTTCTGTACTTCCTTTTAAAAATATTAGGACTTCTTTGAAAAGCAGTCACAACTGTCCTGGAACAGGGTGGCCAGTTGAAGGAGCTTGTTCTTATCCTGTGTTCAGTGTTTCCCAGTTTAATGTGAACACTTTGCCATATACAATTTTGTGAATTGATTTTATCCTTTTCTGTTTTTTTGGTTTCAAATCTCCACTTGGCCTGATTTTTAGAAGATCTTGGAAGAAATAGCATAATTAGTTGATTGGTGTTGTCTCTTAATTTCTACCTTTTTGAAGCAAGAATTACATTATAGTAATTGAGAACTTTTGTTACTTTCTCTTTATTTTTGGAACTTTGCCCATGAATAGAACTCCCAATACATTTTCTAGAGCTTCCTCATTGAGGCCCCTGGCAGATGTGCAAGTGAAGGCGTCACGGGATCTGACAGTCGCACTTCCTTCCTAGCCACAGGAGTGCACCCCAGGGTTGGGAGCCCCAGCCTGGCCCCACGTTCAATTATGATAGGAATTGGCTACAAAGTTATTACATGCTTCTTTGTGTAATAATTTTGCGGTTTACTCCTTGTTTTATCACATCATTAATTGCTTTAAGAAGTGACTCTGTCTTGAATGTAACATGTGCCAGATTGACTGGTTGAATGTCATGGTTCTTTCAGCATTTTCCCTTTCCTTGGACATCAAAAAGTGATCTACATAATTCTGAAACAAAAGTGACTTTGTTCTGAAATTGTTACTGGTGCTCACAGTACAGACTAATTCTGGTCAGTTTTATTCTAGGGAAAAAAAGGTCTTCATTGGGACATTTTGGAATTGCTAACTTTGCCAGAATAGTTATTCTGGAATGGTCATCAGTTGCCTGTCATGTTCCCTACCATTGACAAGCCCTAAACCCCTTGTGTTGATCTGAACTAAAATGAATCTGACTTTCATATCTTATGCTGTTTCATGAAAGTATGTGCTGTCATGTGATTAAGACACCTTCTTAAAAGTGCAATCTTGCTCTGAACTGTAAATTACACTTTCTCACTTGAAGGCAGTTCTTTGTGCATCACAAATAATTATGGAGATGCTTAGAGTTGAAAGTTATTTCCTGTTAGAAACAAGATTTTGGATAACCAGGCCCATTTGGAGCAGGGCATGTCTGTGTGGTACAGGGTCATGTTGTACAGTGATAACCGGAGGTAGTTTTATGCATGCTAGCTTTGGAATTGGAAACGCTTTGAATTCCCTTAATTCCTCAAAGTAATTTCCAAATTGCACTACTGTCCAGTTGAGGACTAATTTTAAAAAGGAAAGATGGTTCATACAACATGTCTTCAGGATTATTAGAATGTGACTGTGAACTTCTAAAGGGTGTCTAGTGGCAAGACAGCAAGTGTTACTGGGTGGGTTATAGTTTTGGATCAGACCCTCTCTAGCTTTGCAGCAAGTCTTCTAACTTTGTCTCACCATATATATTTTAAAGCTAGGAGAAAAGATTTGGACAAAGGGGGAACTGACCCTAAGGCTGACTAGACAGCTACTGAGCATGAAGAGCTTCTGAAATCTATAAGAATCCCAGCTTCCTGTTTTTTTGGTCTACGTGCTTTGTTTCTGTCTTCCAATAAATATCTTCAAACAATTGAAATATCGGTGGAGGAGAGGACACTAAGGACAGACCAGTCAAAAACTTGAACAAATTAAATTTTTAGGTTTAGTAAAAGGTACTTATTTAAAGATAAACCATCCCTTAATTTATGGGTGTCAAACTCATCAGGCCAGGTGGACTGGATGAGTAGTGCAGGACAGCTGGTTTGTGGACTAGATCAGGCCTGTGGATTGGCCCTGCATGCAGCATGCACGCTGAACTGGCCCCATGTGCTGTGTGCATGTATGTTTTAGTCTGAGATGTACAGCAGAGCTTTAGGCCATATAATACATCTCTGCTGGCTGGATCCAACCTGTGGGCCAGCCTGTGGGGGCATATCTCTGACAATCTCTAAAAGGATTGTATGTGTTTATAATACGGAGACTTTCCTATTAAAAATGAACTAACAGCCCCTCCTGCCACACCCAATGTTTCAAAATACTGAAAATCTGGAGTTACAGATAAATTTAAGATAAATATTTGAAAATTGTATAATTTGGTCATGATATTCAGTCTTGCTTCTGCCTTTATGCAATTACCTTACTGTTACCAACAACTTGGAGACAAGAGGTTCATTGTATCAGTTATCACAGAACTAGAAGGCTGTACTGTTGTTTGTGCTGTGCTTGTGCCGATTCCCGCCCTCCATATGGTTATGCCGGCCATAGACAAGACGTCGGCAAACTCTGATACGTAGTTTGTAGAAGTCATTGTGTCCTGATTCCCATCTGCCTTCTCTTTTATTAAACATAGAGCTAATATACTTAGGTACACAACTTTGTATTACAACCCATATTACAAAAAGAACAAAAGGAATGGGAGCAAAGTATTATGCACAGTATTGAAAGTGTGTTTATCTTTATGAGCTATCCAATCTGTTATATATTATTCATTAACTGATGTATGGGATACCATATCATTAAACATTGTGACACGTGTGCGCCTTCCCAGGCACCAGGTTTATCTTAAGTTTTGGTTCCTGTTCAGGACACTGAAGGCACCAGCCCTGTTGGTTGTGCGCTAGTTTAACACTACTGGAATCACAGCGTCTAACATTCAAATATAATAGTAGCCTTAGTTTGTCTGTCTGTCTGTAACTTTTGCCCAACTGTGCATGTGGTGATAAAAGCGTTTGTCCATCTATAATGCTTTCTCCAACTGTGCAAAGTGTGCATGTCCTAAGAGGCTGTGTGGCCAGGTGGGCAGGGGCAGGGCTGGCTGAGTTAAAACGGGAGTCCCTCCACTGGTGCGCCACCTCCTGCAGCCTCCAGTATGGCGGCTCCCTCTGTCCCACCTCCACAGAGACAAAA